ATGTCATTTGACTTGCTCCTTTTCTACATGTGTGGCCAGTTGGTAATATAAAGATTCACATGGCTTTCCTCCATGTTGAAGATGGAACTTTTGATCAACTATGACATCAAAAATAAATAGGAGCTTTATTATTCAGCTTGATTTTTTAATCGATATGTTTATTCTGACAAATCAAGAAGTAGGATAGTGTGGGATCTGCTGATGGCCTCTAGCAATATCTAATCTCTACCTCTTTCTAAGGGTTCTGTTTGTGATTCTTACATTTCAAGATGGAACGTTAATGACTGTCCTTTAGTATTTTTTTCCCATTGTTCAGTTGTGGGATGGTGAGAAGGGAACCAGAATGAGCAGTAGCCCCTTCCAGGTTTGTGACCCTTCTATTCAGTGTCAACTTCCAAACTTGGATTGGTAAAGCCACAGCATGTGTTCCACAGCTCTGGGCAGGGTAGGTAGACACCCTGCCCCAGGAAGGCTGTGGAACAGACGGATTTGTAAGTCTTCTGTTAAACAAGTTAAATTATTTTGTAGTACTATCTCGCTCATTTCTTCGGATTGTCCCTCTGAATACTGCTGTTGTTAAAGGAATCATTGCTAGTAAAAGTCTTGCCTTACTTGGTAGGTATTTAAACTGTAATCATCTGGTACACTGTGCACTAATTACAGGAGCAGAAATGTTCTCAGTTGTACTTGGATATGATTATATTCTTGTGCTTTCCTGCAGGAAGCTTACTTTCGGTACATGGCAGAGAACCCAACTGCTGGTGTGGTTCAAGAGGAGGAAGAAGATAATTTAGAATACGATAGTGATGGAAATCCGATTGCACCTTCCAAAAAAATCATTGATCCTCTTCCCCCCATTGATCATTCAGAGGTACGGTGTTTCTTGCTGAATTTGATTCTTTTTTTAAGCTGATAAAAGTTTTCTTGAGCTTTAATAGTTAGGTTGTCTCAATATCTGTATGCTCTTGATTTATACTCATGTCATGAGAATATTCTTTGGGATCCTGTCAGCTCTGCTAAATGGTTGAGTCAGAAAGTGACTGAGTATTTGAGGCTTTAGAGCCTATATTGTTGTTCAAGGTATAGTTGAATCACTTGCTCACATTTGATTTTAGGTAATTGTGCTTATTTGTTTTCTAGACCATCACTTACCATCTTCCTTTCAAAATGGGCTCTCAGGCCAGCATTTGTTTTTTAATCACTGTAAATCTTTACTGTTTATCTCAGATCTGGGGCAGATGAGAGACTGTTCCTTCAAAAGGGAACCAGGAATTACAGATTCCTTAAATCAGGAAATGGAAATGAGGATATCAGTATACCCACTTGAAAATAAATCAGTGTTTCATCCAGGTTAACTATCAGACAAGATCTTGCATACCCTAGTGATGCCAGATCTAGAGCAGTGGTTCTCAAGGTGTGGTCCAAGGACTCCTGGAAGGATCTTTTCAGGGATTCTACAAAGTCAAAAGAGTTTTCATAATGATGCTAAGATTTGCCTGTTTTTTTACTGCATCAACATTTGTATCAATGGCTAAAAGCAGTGGTAGGTAAAACTGTTGACACCTTAGCATGAATCAAGGTAGTGGTATCAACCATTCTAGTAGTCATTATATTCCTCCCTGCCAGACCATTGCTGTTAAAAAAAAAACAACAAAACCACCTTCACTTAGGAATAGGCTAATGAAACAGTAAAAATTATTATTTATTAAATCTCGACTCTTAGGTTACTTGTCTTTTTATTCTGTGTAACAAAATGGGAAGTACAAATTAAGCACTTAGGTATTTGAGTTGTGAGTTGAACTAGCTGCTTTTTTCATGGAACGTCATTTTCACTTGAGAAAGAGAGTGATACTTTTAAGGAAAACAATTAAAAGTATTAATTGCCAAGAGTAGAAATTTAAGCTTTCAAACAAAAATTAGAATTTGGGAAACTTATATTTATTATAGTGAGCCTGCCAGCTTTCTAATACTTAAACTGTTGTGATGAAATTGATGGTGGTAAACTGATTTTTTAAAAATATTACATAATGAAATTTCATCATTTGAATTATCTGTATACTACCTTAGTGAACCAGAACTTTCAAATGACCAATGCTTGATGTTACAGAATCATGCATGCATCAGTAAATGTTCCATTCAAAGTGCTTGATAAACCCATGGGTATAATGTAACGGAATGTGAAAAGTTCATTATATGGTTTCAGATCACACAATGAAAATAACCTTTAAGAAGTGACTGCTTGTCAAGTTTTAGCATAGTATCAAGAAGAATAAAAATCCATAAGAATCTGAAAAGGCTTTTAATATATACACTCTTCCCTTTTCCAACCACATATTTTTCTGAAGCCAGATTTTCTTCATGGGCTTCAATCAAAGCAATATATCACAGCAGTGCAGTAGGAACCCTTTTCTTTATGTTAGACATTAAAGAGATTTGTAAAAATGTAAAACAACATTATAAAATTTTATTACAGTACTTATGTTAAAGTGTAATGGATTTATTGTTATTTTTAAATGAATTTTAGAATATTTTCTGTTTTAATTTTAGTACAGTAAATATCAACAGATATAACCCACATAAATGAAAGCTCATGTTTTTGTTAAGTATAAAGGTCACTAAAGTTTGAGACTAAAACGTTTGACAGTTCATGGTCTGGACTAGAGTATGAGTTATATTCAGTTTGTAAATGTTTCCTTTTGCACAGATGCTACCACATGCGCCTTTGTATTTTACTTGTGGCACATGGAACTAAATAAGTGAAACTGATCTAGGAGGACATATCTGTGATAAAGAGTGAAAGTCCGATAAGGAACAATACACGAGTACTTGAAGTAATCTAAAAAAGTGTTTGAGATACCTAAGTGCTCAGACTTTGTCATTCTGGGATATCCCACAGTTGTCCTAGTGGTAATTGGCAGTGTGCCAGAAGATACCAGGAGTAAGGGACAGATATCTCTTCTGCCTATAAGTAGTTTTCTTCACATTTTTTTAATACAAAAATTTAGATATTTGTATGTAAAACTTGTGAACAAAGACAAAAATGCTCCTCGTGGAGCATGCATCCCGATACAGAGAAAAGAACTAAAGAAAATCCTGTTACAGCCTAGTGCAGCATTGTGGAGAACATAACAAAGGTCCTGCTTATTAATGCTAAAGGCAAGCTTAAAACTTTATTACTTTTTGCTGATAGTGCCATAGAAAGTTAATTAACTTTAGGCTATGTCCAGAGCTATTAAATTTTTGACCACCTAGCAAAGGCTTAAATTCTCCTTAAAAAGTAAGTTTATTATAGACGTCCCATGTCGAAAAAAATCATTTAGCCAAATTCATATGTGGTGATTTGCTTATGTTTTATATTCTTAGTACAGTAAGCTATGAAAAGAGTAGCAGAAATGACTTCTTCCGTCTTTGAAATTGGAAATAGTTGATCGCACATTTTTTAAGTTATGTAACAGTTCTGTTTTTAAAAAGAGTAGAACGCCTTCTAAAGGCAGAGCTCTCAGAGAGAATATTAGAAATATTTTGAATATCTAGAGCTAGATGAACAACCTATTCCAAAACATATCTAAATGTTATAGAGCAGGCTATCTTTAGAATAACTTCTTTAAAATCTGAGGCCTTGGGCATTTTAGAGATTCTTCAGTCTGCATCAAAGTTGTTCAAATCTGAGGTATCCTTAAGTGTCTTTTGAAAGTAGGTTGGCGTTTATATTGAAAATGGGATTAGGAAAAGGAACTGGCTGTACTTTTGGGATGTGTCATGAATAAGTGAATTCCTTTGTTCTCTAGCTGGTTATGGCTTTACATGTATAATATTTGTAAAAGGTTATTTTGCATTAAAATCAAACTCACAGGATTGACTCTTGAATTCTAGACTAACTTTGAATAATTGGACCTGCAGATTGACTATCCACCATTTGAAAAAAATTTTTACAATGAGCACGAAGAGATAACCAGCCTCACCCCACAGCAGTTAATAGATCTCCGGCATAAGCTTAATCTTCGGGTAAGTCAACCATTAAGCCAGATATTTTTATATTAATGTTGATTAGTCCAGGCTTAGTATTATTGCTTAACCTAACTAAAATAACCTTAAATTTCTTTTTGCATGGTCTCTGAACTCTCTTTGATAGAGCAGTAATACTGTCCCTTAGGCTCATGTGTCTTGTTTTTATTGTATTAGTCTTCCAGCTGTTGCAGGATAGGATTGTTTTTTTCTTTCATAGGGGACACATGAATGCTCTGTGTGTTTAGTCAACTCTGTATGTTGTGTTGGAAGTGTTAAGTTGTCATCTTAAAATTAATCAGTGAGTATTTATGTGGTCAGTACAGTGTGCTAAGAAAAAGAACTGTTAGGTGGGCTAGAGATGAAGGGTCGGAGTCCCCATCTTCGGGAACAGACCGTAACGTGAATAATATGTAGAGTCAATATTTCAAAATTAATATACACTTCTCAAATTATATACAGCATACTTTTTTAAAAAAAATAAGAAATTACACCTTGAAAAACATACATGCACTAATTTCACAGTAATATTTTAAATTGTCCACCAAAAAGTTTTGGGTTACACGTTGGCAATATTGTTTAGGGTGCTGCTAGATGTTAGGTAAGTGAAATTCACACAGATAATGCGGTGATATCTACTCTGGTGTGGACAGCTTTCTGGCCTGTGCCTTACCAGTTGCTGTGTGGTGTTTGAACTTGTTTTCTGAGAGGAGAGAGAGTGTGTGTGTGTGTGTGTGTATACCTGTCTGTTTTCCAAGAACCCCTCCTCCAATAAAAAAACCTTTTAAATGAAATCCTGATAGGAAATAACAGCATCACTGGAGAAGCACTGAAAGGTTACCGCTGTTGGAGTCACACATGGCGCTTATAAGCCTCATCCTTCACTTGGGTACAGTTCAAACAATGCTTGACCATGGCTGGACCATCACTAAGTAGGACCTTAACTCTTTAGGCGTGACTAAAAATGGGGATGGTAGATAATATCTTTGTGACCAGTAGGTATAGACATGTCTTAGAACTTATTTACACTGCATTTTATTTCAAGAATAAATTATATGTGTTCTATCATCTGGTTAATAGTTATGCATAATGGTGGAAAAGAACCCTAATGACTTTTTCCAGTTCATTGAATAGTCTTTTTTTAAAATTCTTATGAGAAAATTAATTTTGGTTAAAGACATGTCTAGGTGCTTAATCATTTTAGGACAATTATCTCAGGAATATTTATCATGGATTTTTTTCTTTCTATATTTTTCATGAAGTTTTTATGTAAGGTTTTAGGTCTGTTATTTTGCCTTTTGCAACAGGGTAAGCTTTTGGCTACAGACTTATATTTTCACTTTGTACTGAGGCTAAATGCTAAATACAGGTAAATATTGTTGAACTTCCAGTGCTATTGATTTTGAAGTACAAATCATTCCTGGGAGTTGTCTTTATCTCCAGGTCTCTGGTGCCGCACCTCCTAGACCAGGAAGTAGTTTTGCTCATTTTGGGTTTGATGAACAGCTTATGCACCAGATTCGGAAATCCGAGTACACACAGCCCACTCCAATACAGTGCCAGGTAAGTAAAACATGAAAGAAATGAAATTGAATGATATTCAAGGACTATATTAATTTTACAAAAAAGTCAAAGCAGTAAAACTGTGGATAGTGCAGAGCTGTATTGACATGGATAGAAGGAATCCAGGTATTCCCTCTATGGCTTAGTCTTCAACTTTGCCTTAGTCAAGGAGGGAAAGGATATGCATGAAATTCAGGAGTGTTTTTGAAACTTTTAAAAATTAAAGAGCAAAAGTGAATTATTTACCACTCTGAAAAGTTGCTAAAGGGGCTGGGAAATGTTTTATATCTGATAAATGTCTTGAAAATACAATCTGTAGAAAATAGTTCATTGGGCCTAAACTTAATAAAAAAGATTTGCAGGTGAACAGATTTGGCACTGATTAGGATTCCTTTGTCCGTGACATGAAAATTCTCATTTATAACAAAATAATAGCTTCTGTTTCCTATTTATATGTAGGATTTATTCATTCCTAAACAGAAATGAGAATTTTCTGTATATGGATAGGATAGTCTATACCTTCTCAAGGGGATAAGATTTTTAAAATTTTAGCAACCTGCTTCATTATAAATTTTTATTTCTGTATTTTAACAAAAATGGAGTCATTTATATTTTATAAATGGTGACTAATCAACATAAAAAGAATATTTCTTAAAAATCAAGAAGCTAATGAGAATGCCAGGTGTTTCTGGTTATTCCATAGTCAGTATGCATAGCCCAGGATATGTTTTTGTTCCAGTGGAAATGAATATCATTAATAGTCATTTACTTTTCCCCAGGATATCCTTCTTTAAGAACATCTGTAAAATGGAAAGTTGAGAGTAGATATATTTTATTTTTTCTCTAGGGTGTGCCTGTTGCATTAAGTGGTAGAGACATGATTGGTATTGCCAAGACAGGCAGTGGAAAAACTGCAGCCTTTATCTGGCCCATGTTGATTCATATAATGGACCAGAAGGAATTGGAACCAGGTGATGGACCAATTGCAGTGATTGTGTGTCCCACTAGGGAGCTTTGCCAACAGGTATGTGCTTTATGTAGAATGCCGCCTTTCATATGTGAACCAGCAAGGGACTAACCAGTCAAGTGGGTAAAACTACCAGGAAAAATGTATTTTTTAAATTATGGTGAAATACTCATAAAATTTCCTTTTAACCATTTGAAGTGTACAGTTCAGTGGTATAAGAACATTCATGTTGTATTACCTGAAAACTTGGAAAATGTTATGTATTGCATATTTTCTATATAACCAAATGCACATTTTTCTCTAAACTACTGCTTTAAGAGAAAAAAATGCTGTGGGAATTGATTGCATTATAAGCTCCCAGTATTTTCCTCCTGGGTTAATTCTTTTTACTTGGTAGAAAGGCAATGACAAGGTCAGGAAGAGAAGTGAAAAAAAATGAATAACCAGGACAAGGTTTTAGATAGCCTGTTGACTTATGATAATGGCATTTGATTCATTTATTTTATGAATAAAATTATGATTTTAAAGTATTTTCTAGCTTTTGATTTTCTATGACATTGCATTCTGAGTTGTGACAGATATTTGTTAGTCGCAGTTTGTTAATATGTCATTATGTCAACAACTTTGTAGATCCATGCAGAATGTAAGCGGTTTGGGAAAGCATATAATCTTCGGTCAGTGGCTGTGTATGGCGGAGGGAGCATGTGGGAGCAGGCCAAGGCCCTTCAGGAAGGGGCAGAGATTGTTGTATGTACCCCAGTAAGTATATCTTTAAATGACTTCTCACCCTCTCTTGGTATGGAAAAAATGGTTAGTTATTGGAGGGAATTCCCCCTAAACTGTGGTAAAGCATGGCTTGAAGTACTCTGATGAATGACAGCCTGTGGCTTTGGTTTAATTTTGATTAGTTGACTATAAAATAGTCCAGTAAGATTCTCTGTCATACATATTTATAGCTACAAATTCCCCTCTATTTCAAATGGTTTTTCTTATGCTCTCCTAGAAAATGGATCTGTAGTCACTGAGAGCCTCAAGATTCAGAAAGAATATGGTCAGCTTCCTAGAAGAGTATAGTTTAAACATTAAAACCCATCAATAAGGCTTTAAATTAGGTCATTTCAGAATGCCTCACAAAAATAGTTCTGGCTTTTTCCCCACAATTTAAATCACAATGTAAAGGAAGAATCTAACTGTTTTCAAATTTTCTGTTCTTTTGGGCTCTGTACATAGAATTAGAGGCTGTCAGACCAGTGTTTATTAGAGTCTAAGATTGGAGTATTAGCACTTTTGCCAGGAGCACAACTCTAGAAAGTTGTTATAAATGCTTTCCATCATACTTATTCATTTTCTGAATCTCATAGGGTCGACTGATCGATCATGTGAAGAAGAAAGCTACCAATCTTCAAAGAGTCTCTTATCTTGTGTTTGACGAAGCAGATCGAATGTTTGACATGGGATTCGGTATGCTTTAAATACTGGTTTCTTTTTTCCCCATCCTCATGATATTCGTTTTTTCCATGTCTTTCTAGACTTACCCTTTTCTTTTGCTGCATGAGAGAAGCTTAAAATTATACTCTTGCATAGGGTTAGACTGTAGGGATATAACTAATGAACTACTTTTAGGAGTTCTCTCAGGGAAAAGTATATTAGATTTATTTGGATTGAGGGCATTTGAAAGTGCCTTTGTATATAAGGGGAATGTTTTCTCTATGCTTTATTTTTATTTATATGTCTTTGATTTGTGGAGGATAAGGTCTGTGTTATTAGGTAGGTAGATGTCATGTCATTCCAGGTCCTTTGCTTTCCTGTCCTTGACTTACCAGGCTGTGTGAAAATTCTAGCTGTCTTTATTGATTGGAATACCACTGGGCCTAGCCCAGCTAGGTGGAGAGTTTCATTCTGAATGTTAGGTCTAGAAGTTAAAAAGTTTATTAAATTCTTATAACCTCTCTTATGAAGATTTTTACTAAAATGACTTTTTCAGGCATCTCAAACTGTAGTAGAGTTATATAATACTAATTTTACTGTTCTACTTCTTCCAGAGTACCAGGTGCGATCCATAGCCAGTCATGTCCGTCCTGACAGACAGAGTATGTATGAAACAGTTTTGTTAAGCTACATTTGTCCTCAGAATAAACACTTATTTCACACTCAGTTATGGCAGCAAAAATGACCGTGTGTGTGTACTGATAAGAACCGTAAAGAATGAGATAATTACTTGAACTGCACAGGTCAAGTAATTAGCCATCATAGGTCGTTAGATAGAAGTCACTCATTTTTATAGATGATAAAACAAAGGCTGAGAATTAAGTGACTTGTCCCAATTTATAGTTTTACTGGTGGGTAGTGCACAGTGCAGATCTGCTGATTTAAAGAGCCTTTTTTCTGAACCTTGCTGACAACCCCTGTCCTAACTGGTAATGTATAAAAATAGAATAAGAGCAAATCTTTTTTTTCCTTAGTGAATCAATTTTCTAACTAAATTTAAACTTCAGGTAGGTTTAGTTTAAAAAACTAAATATTTTGAATGTCAAGAAGCTTAATGGTATTCAAAAAAGAACTCATACTGTCTCTTTAACAGAATTTACTTTACCTTTTAGCTCTTTTATTCAGTGCAACTTTTAGGAAAAAGATTGAAAAACTGGCCAGAGACATCCTGATCGACCCAATTAGAGTGGTGCAGGGAGATATCGGAGAGGTAAGCCTGGGTCCCCAATGGGTTATTTCTCATATTATGGAGACATGGAATTAATTTCTCATTACCGAGAGAAAAAAAAATGTTATTAACATACTTATGGATGAGGCAGCATGTTTCAGGTTTGCTTTAAAAAACAATGGTAGGTAGATGAAAAATATTGGTAAACTGTTGGTGATTGTTGAAACTGGGTAATGGGTACATGGGAGTTGATTGTGTTAATTTTACTTTTTTGGATATTTAAAATTTTTTTGTAATAAAAAAAATTTTTTTAACCTTTTGATGAAAGAAAAAAAAAAAGCAAGCTTTACCTAGAAAACTACCAGTCAGTTAGGATGGAACTGACATTTTAAATGGTTGTGGGAGGAGGCCTGCACAGCATGGAGTGGGGGTGACTTGAAAGCCATGGTAGAAATGAGTGAAGAGTTTTTCTCTTACCTGTACATATGCCCTATATGGAAAATTTCTCTGAACTGTGATTTGGAATTCAGTTAAGTCTGCTTTGAGAATTCCGTAAGTTGCTTGCCATGATTATTAAAGAAAGTTCTGTGCAGTTAGTGTTTTGACATTGTCCGATTTTCATTTTTGAGTGGGTACCTTCTGTGTGCATGTATGAATTGTACTAGGAACAGTGAGTAGGAGAGACAGAAAAGGGAGCTTGATTTATTAGGGATAATCTCAATAGGCATATAGAAAAGTATTGCCAAGTATCGGGGCTTACAAATTAGTTGGTATATGTACACATCAGAGGTGATGGGGAGACCTAAGTGATTTGAGAAAGGGATATTAGTTTTGAACTGCACTTGACTTGCCGAAGGCAGGCCCAAGGAGAAGAGGGGTTGTTCAAGGTTCTTCTAGGTACAGGTAGAAAATATGTTTGGTCCTTGTTCAGGTGCCCTGTGGCACAAGGGTCACAATCCTGTTTCATTTCTTCCTTATCAGGCAAATGAAGATGTGACACAGATTGTGGAGATTCTCCATTCTGGGCCTAGTAAATGGAATTGGCTTACCCGGCGTCTGGTAGAGTTTACCTCTTCAGGGAGTGTCCTCTTGTTTGTTACTAAAAAGGCCAATGCTGAGGAGCTGGCCAACAACCTTAAGCAGGAAGGTCATAATCTTGGGCTGCTTCATGGAGACATGGATCAGAGTGAAAGAAACAAAGTCATTTCAGACTTTAAGAAAAAGGATATCCCAGTCCTGGTGGCCACAGATGTTGCAGGTAGAGTATGAATTTCACTAACAACCTTAGATTCTTATGTGTAAGGGTGCTCTGTCTTGCTGTATAAGACCTATAATATCTGAGCAGGCTGATCGAAGGTGCTGTGCTGGCTTGGCTGTCCATGCCCTGTGGAGCAGGAATTCAGAGTGCAGTGATCACAATTGGAGCTCTGGGTACCATTTTTCACTCAGTGTTTCTTTCCGAAAAAAAGAATACTCTGCAATTGGAAGATAACTTGTGGGGGAAAAAATGTTGAGGCAATTATATTATAGGCTGTTCCCCGTGTCGTGTGTCTGAATATAGTAGATATTTTACATTATTTATTTGGGCATACTTCACTCAAGATCAGAAGATTTTTTGACGTATGATTTTTTGGCTTTGTTCTGAGTTTTAATAACTACCATTAAAAAACGTATTTTCTTCCAGAAGTTAATTTCTCAGCTTCAAAGCACTTTTGATGCTGGTTTTTAATATATGTATATATTTTTTAACATATAGTCCTGGTGCAAGAGAGAGTCCGTGGCAGGTTATTGATGGCAAAAGATATATGTCCCTTACAGTCGATGGCCCAGCTTTATAGAATCTACAATAGAAGCATTTGTTCTAGAAAAATAATTTGTATGCCTGTATCTCAGCTCACCAAACCATGCACTTTGCCTAGCTAAGAGAAATGTTTTTAGAGATTTAGCATTTTTGGTTGCTTTGGACTCCTAATGAAGAATAAACAAATTTGGTTGTTTTTTAAATCAGCTCGTGGTCTGGACATTCCTTCGATTAAGACTGTCATTAACTATGACGTGGCACGAGACATTGATACGCATACTCATAGGATTGGCCGCACAGGACGAGCGGGTGAGAAGGGCGTTGCCTATACCTTGTTGACTCCCAAGGACAGCAATTTTGCTGGTGACCTTGTCCGGAATTTGGAAGGAGCCAATCAGCATGTTTCCAAGGAACTCCTGGATCTGGCAATGCAGGTAAGGGGCTGGGCACACTTCGCATTGCTCTGAGCTATAAAACTAGGTGAAAAAATTTCAACAAACCTGAGGCAGGTAACAGGAACATGTCAAGAAAAAGGTCAGGGGAGGATAGTGCTTACAAGGTACAGATTGGTATTGTAGGACATTAAAATTATCTGGTCTGTCTTTTTATTCTCTCCTTTCAGAAGCATCTGCATCAAAAAACTATTACTATCTGTGCTAAAATCTGTTCCTCTGAAATTTCTACCTGCTTGCCCCATAGCACACTTTTTAGTAAATATAATCTCAAAGATGGCTACTATTATTATTGGCTGTCTCTGCAAACAGTCTTCTCTTTGACAGAGCTAAAAATGTGTGATGTCTCAAAAAAAATGGTGTATAGGCTTAGATCTCAGGCTTTTTACCACACTGATTACTAATCCAAAACGGAGTGAGGCATTCTACCAAATTAAATCCTGAGTCGTGTTATTATGTGCAGTCCTCAAATTACATATGGGTTCAGGATGCACATTCTGATAGTAGATACTTAGGAACCTAGATGTTTTTCAAACCCATAATGCCGTTGTAGTGTGGTGGTGCCTGTGCTTCAGGTCCTGGGCGTGAAGGACCTGCACTGCCCGAGAGAGTAGAATAATGTTTCCTTCCCTTTCCTGGGTATAGAGAGACAACCCTAAACTAAAATTTTGAACAAGATACATTTTGGCCCTGGCATTCTCCTACATCTCTTTTTGTGCCTCAGGCTTCCTGTGCTCTCAGGCTATGATCAGCTTTCCTAATCAGCACCTTTGCCAGGCCTGTCCTGCCTCTCAAGACCTTTACTTTGACTGTAACATGGGATTGTCAGATAAAGCTCTAAGCTCCCTCAGAGATGTCTGCATTCAGAGGAGAATGTGAATAAATCTGATCAGTAGTTTTTGGCAGTGATCAAGTTCAGTGAAAACTTTTAGGCTCTTTGGTAAATAAAATTTCCAGTTACGTGGCTACCAGTCCTGGGCCTCTGCCCCTAGAGTCGATTCTAATAAATCTCACTTTATGTAGCTTTTTTCCTTTCTTTCTGAACCTACTAATATTGTAAAAGCTCCAAATTTTTTATTTCCTGTGGTATGTATAGTGTGTTTGAAACATAGAAGATGAATTCATTTTCCTCTTAAGAAGTATCCAGGGTAACTAATCACTTCCCTTTCTGGAGGCCCTGGAAAGAGCAGTAAAGGAAGCCTTAGATAACAATCTAAGTCTGATGACAAATTGATAGATTAAACTACTAAAAAGAAGCGCATCTGTGTTTCCTGTGAATAGTTCCTATTTTGCCATAAGTATATTGGCTAAAGATGAAGCAAAAAGTTCTTCTCTCCCACTTAGCTCATTGGTCTTATTCCCTTCCTCTGGATGCCTCTCCATCCCCTAGTTTAACCTTGAATCGTGTTCATTGCAGAATGCCTGGTTTCGGAAATCCCGCTTCAAAGGAGGGAAAGGCAAAAAGCTGAACATTGGTGGAGGAGGCCTAGGCTATAGGGAGCGGCCTGGCCTAGGCTCTGAGAACACGGTGAGTCCATACTACAGTAGTGCCCTTAGAGTCGGTCCTGAGTCTTGGGTGATGCTAGGACTATTCTCTGAGACAACCTTCCTGAGTTCTGAACTCTGTCAGAAGGGAGCTTTTGTTTAATCTGCTGGCTTGAGTCAATACAAAGAAGCACCTACATGTACTTGGCTGACTAGGTGCTCAGGAAGTCAGTCTATATTAGCAGTGGTTCTCAGATTGTTTCTGGATTAGCAGCAAATGCAAACTGGTACCCTACCCTAGACCTAGTGAATCAGAAACTCTGGAGGTGGGGCCCAACCGTCTATTTTTACAAGCCCTCCAGCAGCGGCCTAGTGCCTACTGCTAGGAAGACATTGCCACAGGGTCAGTCTGCAAACTAGCTTTATCTTGTAACTAAACTCAGTAATGATTCCTGCACTCTCTGGGAAATTGCATCAGAGAGGGGATGAGAGCTAGCTTTTCTTGACTGGCTTTTTTTAACTGCCTGTTTCCTGTCACTTGGATGCCTAAACCAAGGAAGAAGGCTGCCAGTCTGCATTTCTGGAGCATTACAGTTAACTTGGTGTCTCTGATAAATAATCTGTTCCCACATTATGATAATGATGTAGATGGCGCAGATGATAGTGATAGCTAATGTTGAGCATTTAATATGTGCCCAAGCAATCGCAGTAACTATCTTCACAACCACCCAGTGAGAGTAAGTATAGATCATAAAGCTGAGGCACCCAGGGTTGCACACTGATAAGTGTTGAAGCTGAGGTTCAGACTCTTAAGGGTCTAGATTCCAAAGCCTGAGCAGTCACACATGTGTTATACCGCCTTGTGGTTTTTTCATCAATATAATTATGTAAACATGTTTATGTTTGTATGTGTAAATAATACCACATAATCAGTTTTGAGCATAATCTAACCTCATTTCTGATTATTAGGGTTAATTACTGGGTTGAAAAGCATAAGCATTTTTAAATGATTCTTCGTTGCTGTAGCTTTTCTCACAAGACGTAACTTAAAAAAAATATCCTGTTCACATTGCGATTCTCACTCATTTTCAGTATATTGAGGCCCAGTCTATGCTGGTGGGCTTCCCTTTTCTTCTGTCTTCATGGGTGTTTATTTTTTAGGACCGAGGAAACAACAACAATGTAATGAGCAACTACGAGGCCTACAAGCCCTCCACGGGAGCCATGGGAGATCGGCTGACAGCAATGAAAGCGGCTTTTCAGGTCTGAGATAAGCATTTAGCTAAAAGAGCTTTCAGCAGTGACTCTTGGGCAGAGATGAGGGGACCTAGTCTCGAGATGGTAGCTGGGTTTGTAGGCTTGATGCTGGATTAGGGTCTTCTCACTGCTTTCAGTTTTGAATATACACTTACCTGTAGCTTACCTACAGATGAAGGTGTAGAGGCTGGAGAAACCCCTGTTGCCTGTCATCTACTTCAGTCACAGCCAGAGCCCGAGACTCTTGTACTAAGCATGGTTGGTGTTCCCTCCCATCCTCCACAGCCTAGTGTTACCCATCTCCAAGGCTGTTGTAATCTGATTAATTGCCATTTTTTAGAAAAGAGAAGTTTGATTCTATATCTTGTGAACTCTGAACCCATCTTTTTTCTACACTTGCCCCTCCAGTTAGCTAGCTGACCTTAATGTACACATTTTATCCATCTCCAGACTGATGTTTCAGTTAGGTCCCAAGATTTATTTTTCATTAATAGAAGAGCACAGAAAACACAGGATTGTGGGGCCATCAGGATGCTAAAGTCACAGTGCCACAATAGCATGGATGTTATCTTGTGTGTGAATACTCAAGTTTTTGTATACTTACTTTATCATTGCCAGGCTTATATAGTCAGGTTTCTTGAACTTGCTGTCTTACTATTCCGGTTGTCTCTTTTTCAGTCACAGTACAAGAGTCACTTTGTTGCCGCCAGTTTAAGCAACCAGAAGTCTGGAAGTTCTGCTGCTGGAGCAAGTGGATGGACAAGTGCAGGAAGCTTGAATTCTGTTCCAACTAATTCATCCCAGCAGGGCCATAACAGTCCTGACAGCCCCATTGCCAGTGCCACCAAGGGCATCCCAGGCTTTGGCAACACTGGGAACCTCAGCAGTGCCCCAGTGACCTACCCTACTGCTGGAGCTCAGGGGGTCAACAACACAGCTTCAGGAAATAACAGCCGAGAAGGGACTGGGGGTGGCAATGGGAAGAGAGAGAGATACACTGAGAACCGGGGTGGCAGCCGTCATAGTCATGGAGAGAGTGGCAGTGGCAGTCGGCATGGCGATAGCCCACGTCACGGAGATGGTGGTCGCCATGGAGAGGGATACCGCTACCCAGAAAGCAGCAGCCGTCATGCTGATGGCCATCGTCATGGGGAGAACAGACATGGAGGTGGAGGCCGACATGGGGAGAGCCGAGGTGCAAATGATGGTCGGAATGGTGAAAGCAGGAAAGAAGGTTGTAACCGTGAGAGCAGGATGGACCCCAAGGTGGACAGCAGCAAGATGGACAAAATGGACAGCAAGACAGATAAGACAGCTGATGGTTTTGCTGTCCCTGAGCCTCCCAAGCGCAAGAAAAGTCGATGGGACAGTTAGATGGTATGTGCTGAAGTGTGAAATCAATTGTCTTTAATTTTATTTTTAGAAAGGTTTTTGGTAACTAGGTGTCTCAGGGCTGGGTTGGGGCCCAAGGTATAAGGGCCCCCTGCCCTTAGTGGATAGCTGGAGCTTGGAGACATTACCCCTTCATCTGGGTCATTTTTCAGATGCTTGCTTAGGAAGCTGCTTTAGTCCTTGGAAGCAGTGAGAGCTGGGAAGCTGCTTTTGGCTCTGGGTGAGTTATGAGGGTCAGATGAGGATACCTTGGAAGAAAGGGCCTTATGGGGTACAAAACTCACTCTCGGTTTGTATCATATGTAGTGTATATTTTTTACCAAAATGTCACCTTATAAACATAAGTAATATTCTTTGTCTTAGCTATGTGGCCAGGCAGTCCCTTTTAGGAGTTGGCTTCTGCAAACCTGATCCTTTGAGAAGTTAGGGATATTTGCGAAGTACTTTGGTACTTCCAGACTTTTGCAGGAAAGGAAAGTATCTGGTTCTAAATGGGAGTCGAAGCTCAGGTTCCCCAGCTGAGACAGGAAAAGGCAGCCTGCTTTACCCAGAGTCGCTACTATTGAAGGGGGAAAGATGATCCTAAAAACGGTCGCTCTAGGTCTGAAGTGTTGCTAAATTTAAAAAAACAAAAACCCAACAACAGCTTTTAACTGTCTATTTTATTGTATTTTTTTTTTTAACTTGGCACAATGGTAGAAAAATCTTTTGCTGAAATGATTTTGATGATTTTTGTTCGATCTTGTTTATAAAAGAAATATACATACTTTGAATTTTGTGACTTTGTGACGGTTTCTTTAAGATGTTCATTCCTTTCTGCTTGCTCTAGTAAATGTTTTACTACTGGGACCTATGGATTGTTTGTCATTTCTACTTCATGAGTCAGTATACGTTAAATATAACTTAGAACAGTGTAGCACAGGAGTTACCACTTAATGGGAACTGAACTGTTAGAAAGGACATCTGTCACCATGGTTTTATTCAAAAGAAGATGGAAGACTAGAGGCCTTTTTACCCAGGAACAGACTAAAATGAATGCCACCTCAACACTGAACCTCCCCTCATGATTTAAAAAGGTATAACCTTTCATCTAGTACCCCTCATTCTTCATGGAAGGGTTGGGGGTGTTACAGCACTGACACGACATTGCAGCAGTGCTTTGACAGGAGACCTTCAGGCAAAGGATCTCCTCACCGCTAGGGACCACCATGAGCGCTCTAGGTCCCCACCTCACTGTCTTCTCAAGTGACTGCAATGCAAGTAAGGGTAGGGCTGGTACCATGGAGGCCAGATTGTCCATTCGCCGCCTGCTCAGAGGCCCCGGTGGCTCTGCTCACTTCCGCCTGCTTTTTTTCTTCTGCTCCTTTCGTTGCTGCGCTCTTTGGTCCTTCTTCATCCTTGAGTCTACCACCTTGAAGTGACCTCTGACTCCAGCTGGCCGGCGCACTTTGCGGCCCACACCTTTTTTGGCTACAACATAGGTGACTTGGCGTTTCTCCTTGCCCAGCCCAGCCTTTCTGTAGAGACTGTAAATGGAAGAAACAGGTTAGAAGCTTTCTGCCACTCTTTAACCATGTACCTTTGTGGGTGACCTGCCCCCATTACCTTCGAAGTTGTGCCACTTTCTCTCGTTCTGAGATGTCCACCGTGTTCACCACAGCTTCTGCCTTCTTTTTGGTTTGCTCCAGCTTCTTCAGCATCTGTATGGGGACCTCGGTCAGGCTGACTTCCCCACCTCTGTCCCACCCACCTCTCATCTCAGGCAGCCCCACTACTTACCCTCCGTTTCTTTCTGGCTTTAGCCTCAGCCACTTTCTTGATGGGCCGCGCGTTGATTTCCCGCCAGCGTTTCCGGTAATGCTCCACCTCCTTCTTGTCAATAGGCAATTGCCGTATCCTGTGCTGCTTTTCCTCCTGCACAAACCAGTCTGGAAGCTCCCCCTCATCCTCATTAAATGTATACCTAGGCAGAGAGGACACCAGCCCTAATGACTACTCCAGGCTTTCTAGAGAAGAAACCACCACTTACCCACCCCACCCTAGGCCACTTCTCAGGATTTTCTGGCCCCCTTACCGGCTGAAGGAGTTGTCTATGAGGTCTCGCTTGGCCTTTTTGGAAGAGGCGATAATAGCACCTAAAGCAAGGCCTTCAGGGTCCAGTATCCGATGTTTCACTAGAGAAGGAAGGAAAAAAGTCCAAGCTTGATCCCACACTGAAACTTCCGTTGTCTCCTCCCATTCCGCTGAGTGCAGACCCACTCACCCGGGTCCTCGATAGGCACTATTTCAAACCCATCATCATCTGACTTAAGCCCACGGCTTCTCTTCTTACGGTGGCGTGGTTCCCGACTGCGGAAGAGGGGAGGACGGTGCGTGAATGCCCCACCGTTCCCCACCCCACTCAGACCCGCTCCTGCCTCTCCTCAACCTTGGTTCTTACTTAAAACTGCTTGGGAAGCTTCTGAAAATCCTGCTACCTGAAAACCACTTAAATCAGAATCATCAGTATTTTTAAAGCTCTTTATTTACAGCCAAGGTTGAAATTTTCCAAAACTTAGAGAAATGGTTAGAACTTCTGCTGCTGCTTCATCCCTTCTCCCATCAGCTGCAACCACTCACCTCTCTTCATCCTCGCTGCTGCTGCTGTCACTGTCTGAGCTGTCATCTCTTTCTTCCACCCCAGGGCCAGTGGCAGCCTCTGTCCCCGATGGAGTCTCTGCCTCTTTAGGGGCCTCATCCTGGCACCGGGGAGGTTTTCTCTCAGTCTTCAAACTGGAAGCTGGTGGTGGTGGTGGTGGTGGTGGTGGTGGTGGTTGAGGCGGTTGAGGCTGCCCCTTCCGACGGGTCTCGTTCAACAGCTGGGCCTGACTGATCTCCAGGGCCTCATCAGCATCATCTTCAATCCCACTGAAGCTGTCCTGTCATGGGGATTGGAATCTTCAGCCACCTTTCTTCCTGCGAATGCCAATTCCCTGTCTGGGCCCCCAGCCGCCTCTTACCTTTGAGAACCACAGGTTGGCTTGTTCTTCCTGCAGGACCGCCTTTTCCTCCAGAGGTACTAGCAGTGGATTCTCCTCTTCCTCCTCCTCTTTTTTATCGTCTACAAATCGTACCCTGTAGGCCCAAGGAAAGTGGGTGGAGGGTCAGTGCCCAGGCGAACTTGCTCAACACCCCACTCCCTCTGGCAGTACCTGCCACCAGCTCTGCTTCAGGACTCAAGTTGAGGGGGTCGGCGTTCCCTCCTGCACACGGCAACCCCCAGCTTACCGCCTTTGGTCCTTTAGACTCTGAGGTCCTCTGACTCCTGCCAGCTCCTCTGGATCTAGGTCACTGTCCAGAGATGCGTCATCATCATCCTCAGTATCCGATACATAGATGTCATCTCTTGGCAGATCGGACAGAAACGTGTCTGCAGCACTCATGTCCCCTTGTGTTACCTCCTTTAACAACTAAAGTTTGACAGAAACAGATCAAGGGTACTCAAAAGGGACATACTGCTTTTTTCCTGTGTCCATTATCTTAGTTTGTCCTCAGCAACATCAGGACATAGGCTGTGGCATATATGCTTAACAGACAGAGAATTGATGGGTAGGGCTGTTTAAAACTTCCCATTCCAGACAAGGTCACTGATCTGTCCCATGCAGCTATCTTGTAGCAGAAATAGGTTTATGGAAAAGTACCCCACAGCCTATACAGAATCAAATCTTAAAATGTTCTAAAACTGGTTTTTCTTTAAAAAGTTGCTCTCAGAAGGCACCTTATCACCTTCTGGAAATAATACAATCTACATTTTGTTTCCATTGAATTAAGGTACCCAGGTAACATACCTCTTTTCTTATTCCCAAACTCTGGTAGGTAGGTTCTATTATTCTCTTTTACAGATGTGGGAACTGTGGCAAAGAACAGACAAGTGGTAGTCTGCTCCAGGACCACTACGCTCTACTGCCTCTCCCGTACAGCAGATGACCTGGTTTCCATTCCCACACGAAAGCCACGAAAGCTGCTTTTGCTTGTGGCACTGCTTTTATTAGGAAGAGCAGAGTCTCCAGTACTCAGCAGAAAGCACCATTCAGTAGCCACAGGCACCAAGGTGCTAACTTGGTCTCACTGAAGAACGATGTTCCCCTAAGGGAAACCTTCCATCACTCGCGCTGGTAACCCAGGTACCTTGACTGCATCTACTATAACCTTGCTTCTTGCAGAATGCCTCTCAGTTCTTTTCTTTTGTATCATAGATCGTGTGTGTGCATACACGCAATAACCTAGTTCTATAAGGATAAATTTGTATCACACTCGTGAGTTTTTCTAATTTCGTTATGTTAGGTGTCTGTTCCTTCCTGGCCTTTGAGACACAAGGCTCTCATTTTTCCCCAGTCTCCCCTCACTGAGTCACGTACATACTTTTGAGTAAAGACAGAAACCATGTACCATGATCATGCAGCACATTAAGAAAAAAAGATCCGATCCCCACTCCCCTTCCAAATGCCCAAACAGATCCTCCCATCTTCGCAGTCTGTGCCAGCCCTGCCTCACCTGGTGACCTCGGATGGTGCGCAGGGAGAACATGCCAGTCTCCCCTTCATCTGCGATAGAAACTCCAGGAAGATCCATCTTTAGCTCCACACGCTCCCGCTGCTTTCTCTGCTCACGCAGCAGCTTCTTTTTCTTTCTGAGGAGTCGATTTAAGGAATTTGAAAAACCTGCCCAGCTCTGAAGATCCCCATCCACGCCTTCATTCTCTTCTCCCACCTCCGCATGCTAACAACTCTGCGGGGGGTGGAGGGTCACCAACTTCCTCCCCAGGCCCCCTCACCTCTTTAATTCTGCCACCTCCTGGGCCTTCATCTCTGCCAGGGTCCGATTCAGTTGTTCTTCCTCTTCCTCCTCCTCAGAGGGCTGCCTCATGGTCCCAGCTGTCGACTCCTCCTCACCTTCTTCCTCTTCCTCTCCCGAGCTGAGGCTGACAGAACAGTCCGAGGAGTTTGGTCATTTTCCCAGGCCCTTTCCCCTAGCACCCAGTCGACACCTACCCTGCTTTATTTAGTTCCCCCTCACCTGATATCCAGTGCCTTTGCTTGCTCCTTTAGCTTCTTGGCCACATGTCGCCGAAGCTTTGTTCTCCAGTTCAGTAGAGACCTGCCACAGAAATACGATTGACACTCTCTCCCTCTTTGTCCCTACCTCCTCTGTTTTAGGCCCACCCCCCAAATTTCACGTTCGAGTCACATAAAGCCTAGGGCTCAGGTCCCCACCCCAAATCTCTACTTTAGCAACATCCTGTTACCAGAAATACAAAGTCATGGCCTTCAGATGCCTTTCTCTGCTTTTGGGGCTCCTGGCACCTACACCCACCCCTACTGCATACCTAAGCTCCTTGCGCCCCAGCACTTTGATATCCTGACAGCTCATTCGTATATCCTCAGTGGTAGCTGGATGCTGTGCCAACTCTTCATCATCTAACGAGATCTGTTGGGAAGAGGAAAAGGAAACAGTTAAAGTTTTCACACCACGTTTCTGGGGCTCCCTTATACCTCTCAAGTGTAGGAACTCACTTCACTGGCTTTGGAGAGGAAGTCAACAGGGTTGGCAGCTCGGAGGAAGTCAGTGACTGAGGTGCGGTGATAGAGAGTGAGGTCGCCCTCGGCATAGCCTTCAGCCTTAGAGAAGGAAAGAAAGGTTGAGCAGTCCCTTCTGGGGTGTCTGTATGACCCACCAGGCCCAATCTCCCCAGAGTTTTTGGACTTGAGAGTGGCCATGTTCCCCAAACACACCTTTGGTTTCTTCTTAGTCACCAATTCAGTAACAGTCTTGGCCTGGACTTCGACCTCCTTGAAGGCAAATTTGGGGTCAAAAAACTTATTGTCAACCTTGTCAGGAGCCAGGAACCCTAGGATGATAGCACATATAAGAAAGTGTGCTTTGGTGGTTGGGAGACTGAGTCAAGAGAAAGAATGGAGTGGTGCATACCCTGGCAGACTACAAAGATTTCTGCAGACTCATGGCGAGAGGCTTGGGGCTTGGTGGCCTGGACATGGCGAAACAGCTGCTGAAAGATCCATAGTAGGGGCTGATAGTCACGGGAACGGAAAACCTTTGTGATGAAGCAGCCTCCACGGGCCAGAAAATCACAAGCCAGACGCAGAGCCATCAGTGTCAAATGGGCTGTGAGAGAGAGACAGTTAGCTGTGGACCTCTGCAGCCTAAGAGGGCATGCCCATCTCCCCCTCATCTCCATGCCCCCGACTCCTGGCACCTTGTGAGTAAGCATCATGGACCCAGCTAGCCCCAACGTTGGGGGCCCCATCGTTGAGCACAACATCAACTTTCCAGGTCTTCAGCTCCTTCTTCAAGGCCTACAGAGAAGCGGAGGGGGGTGGGGGCGGTTATGGCAACAGAAACACAGGAATGGCTATAAGTGGAATCCCTGATTCAGCCATTTGTCTACCCAGTCATTTGCTGAGTGTCCACCATGGGCCAAATACTGTGCCAAGCAGAGGGAACACGATGATAAATAAAAATAACATGTACATCTTCTTCTTGGAGCTTATTCTACTATAAACCCACTGTAAAGGATTTCACTAATATCTCTATACTTTTTCAACTTCCAAACACCTCATTCCTGACCAAATAAAAGCTGGAGTGGACAGAAGGCATATCTCAGGCTTACAAACCATCATGCAGGCATTGCTCAAGGCATGGTAAACAGAAAAAATCTTGCTACCAGAAGATTTGGGTGGGAAGTGGCACGGAGTGGATGTCTGCATATAAAGGGAAGAAATAAAGGTGACAAAAAGAGAGATTCCTATCACCTGCCTACAGCGTTCTGTTGTGATGTCCTCCTGGAGTGTTACCACATTGGGAATAGGTTTGATTGGAACCAAGTCCACACCTGGAAAAAAACAGATTAGAATACTGCCTCAAGCAGGAAGAAAAGAAATGTACAACACAATATCTCATACCCCCACCCCTAAAAAACCTGAGAGAGCCACCTGTCACTCACCCACAATAAGGCTGGATACAGGCATAAACTTGGCAGCCACCTGCAGCCTATAAAAGAGAAACAAAGATTAAAATACCCAGGACTGGCCCTTCCTCTCCCACCTCCGGGTGTTTGGAGCCCTGCCAAGTGCAGTGGCCAGAGCATGCATGTCCTCTGGACATGTTCCAAACTTTTTCTCTGCAGCGTATGTGCTGGGGAGTATAAAAATTAAGGTTGGTGTTATTGTATTCCTCCCTCTCCCAATGAAACTCTGCCATCCAAGGCCAAAACCCCAAAAGAGGCCACCAAAAGTGACAGATGCCGGTCGTTACGCACCATCCCCCTGGCGCAGCACACAGGTCCAGCAAGGCTCTGGCTTTCTGCAGGAACTGAAAGCGGCGATTCAGCTGAATCAGTTTGAAAGCAGAGCGGGAACGATAACCTGGGGGCGATGACAAAATTTTAAGTCCGCGGAGTGCTCTCCCAGCGAGATTTCTGCGGCTTCACCCTTCTGCGGAAAAGAAACTCAGTATTCGGTAAGGAGACGAATCCGACAAGGTCGCTCGTTCGCTACCTCGCGGGAGGCCTGAACCTGGACTCACCTGTCTCCTTCGCTAAGTGATAGAACTTGTCTCGCCGGCTCTTCCCGACTTTGCCCTTCTTGCCCATGGTAGATCGAGAGTGTCACTCAGTCTGAGAAGAAAGTAGAAATTGGAACGTCTCTTCCCCGAGCACTAGATGCCGCTTTCCGTTCCCCGCTTACCGTAGTGATCACACTCTACACTTTTCCCAACACGACTCAACACCACCCATTGCCGTTTTCAACACTTTTGGAGCAGCACATGGAGGCAGCAAACTACTTCCGCTTCCGCTTGCGTCGCTTGCGTCCCCGGCTCTAAGTTTGCCGCCATTTTGAGTGTGGCCTCAAAAAAAAAACACAATTTCCTCTACTCTCTGTTGGCGGACCTTATAAGTTGGAAGGTGGGACCAAGAGAGCAGATTACTTACACTAAAACCGAGTTTCTAGAGAGCAACATTTAGGAGTTCTGTGACCTTGTCGCCCCATTCCGAAGCTCCTGACCTCACTTAGGCCTCCTCCTATCATGGCCCCTGTTATTTGTTATCGTCTCTCCGCACACCCCGCCCATTGACCCGGAACTCTTCTCTACCCCGGTCTTCGGGCTCCACGCCTCTGCTTTCTGAGCCTGCGCGCCAAGCCGGCTCGGGAGCCCGCGGCGCAGGGAAAATGGCGCTTGACGGACCAGAGCAGGTACGGCGGCGTCAGCGGCCGGGCGGGGACTGGGGCTGGATGCGGAGCAGGCATGATCTGAGGTGGGCCGCTGGCCTGACCAAGAGGGTCGGGTGGGTTAGGCGTGTTGGAGGTGGGTGAACTAATCTAGGTTGGGCCCTGCCTGGGACCGGATCTGCTGTGTCAGCGCCGCCCCGACAGGTCAGGGCAGGGCCAGGAGAGGACACAGTGGAAGCGGAGTGATGGGAGTGGGAACGCGCCTGTCTGCGAGTCGCAGGAGACAGGGCACTCGTCCTTAGTGGCTCCGCCTGTGGTAATGACACTTTCGGTAGGTATAGCACCAGACTCGGTACAAAGCGCTCCCGCGTGTATCGTCTCTTGATCCTCCTGAAAGTCTTCGGAGGTAGTCAGCATCCACATTCTGCTTTTAGTTTAGTCCTGGTGGAAGTGGAGGGTTCTGAAGAAATGGGATGAGTAGAACCCCAGTCTTAAAACCGGAAGGTCCAAGCTGGTAGTGGCTTTATCCCTTGAATGGTTATAGCCTGTTTAATAATTACACTGTGTCTTCAGATGGAGCTGGAAGAGGGGAAGGCAGGCAGTGGACTCCGCCAATATTATCTATCCAAGATTGAAGAACTCCAGGTGAGGACGGACTCCAGAAGTCCAGAGGGAGCTAGAAGGGGGATGAAGGGTTGATGGAGCAGATTTCTACAAATCCATATAATTCCACTGGGGGCGCAGTGGAAGAATAGTTTGTTATACATATTCAAGTCAAACAGAAAAGGTACCCGTAGCCAAAGGCCATTCGTTTTGCAAGAAGCCTGATTGAGAGGGTTTCCAATAAAAGGAACGATACAGGTTCAGGAGATGAGATTTATCAGAGAGGGTTTGGAACAGAGTGAGAATGTAAGGGAAGACAGAATCGAAGAATCTGACAAATGCCGATTCCATGAGACTGAATGAAATTGGGTGACCCAGGTCTCTAACCTAAAGACGGGGGCAGGGACCATAGACATAAGGAAAATAGCTAACACATATTGCATGGAGGAAAGCCACAGGGGAAATATCTTATCTCTAGGTATATTTGTAGGTATTATATTTGGTTTACCATTTTTGAAATGCACCTATGTGTGATTTTATTTGTTCCTCACAACAGTCCTGAAAAGAGGCAAAGTAGGTGATGCTGTGCCCACTTGCAGTTTGGTAGCACAACTAGACCTTTCCTTAGCTTTACCTGGCTGTTAACTGGCAACAGGGGGACTAGAAATTAGGCTTCTGACTCAAAAGTTAGTTATCTTCTTACTGTAACATGTTGATATGCCGCCCTGTAAGAAATTAACTATGTAAGACAGCTGCAACTTTTCTCCATTGAGGTTTGTTATTCCTGGACTAATGTTAGACAAGTGGCATTTTTTGATGGCTGCTCTAGGCTCCAGAGGACAGGCCAGGGTCTTTAAAATCATATTGGAGAATCTAAAACGACATGTGGATGCCCTGTGCTCATCTCTCACTCAGCTCATACCAGCCTCTGAAGGTCTTGGCCAGGATTTTAACCTCCTCCTGTTTCCTGCCCTTTGTTTCTTGTTCTCCATAGCTGATTGTGAATGATAAGAGCCAAAATCTCCGGAGGCTGCAGGCACAGAGGAATGAGCTTAATGCAAAAGGTGAGGGGAGAAAAATGGGAAGGCTGCATGGAGGCAGTCAGTCAGAAGTCTGACTGTTCAAATCTCCCTGAATTGAGTTTTCACATTGGTGCTTTTTCCTCCCAGTCCAAGGTGATACTCTGCATTATTAAATAGTTCACATGTGCATCTCACCCAACCCCATCGCAGCCTTCTTGAAAACATGACTTTTGACTTTCTTTTTGTGGCCTTCCCTTCAGAATTTCACAATGCTGCTTCGTTCATGCATATTCAGTTGAGACGTAGGGGAGAGACACCAAAGAAGCTGGGTGACCGCTCTGTCTGTTTTCCATCTAGTTCGCCTACTGCGGGAGGAGCTACAGCTGCTGCAGGAACAGGGCTCCTATGTGGGGGAAGTGGTCCGGGCCATGGATAAGAAGAAAGTGTTGGTTAAGGTAAAGGCGGCATGACCCAGGGACCACCTACTGCGTTCATAGACCTTTCTGGGTAGCCTTGGCAAGAACACTGTTCCGTCGTCTTATTCAAGGACTCTTGGATCTTCCTGGGTGAGGTTGGTGATTTGGTGGCTATCGGGGAAGGTCATGAGCACTTGTTTCTTTAGGTACATCCTGAGGGCAAGTTTGTCGTAGATGTGGACAAGAACATTGACATCAACGATGTGAGTGTAGCAGGTTGAGGTGGGAGGTTGGGGTCAGCTCACTACACCACATTCCTGAAACTCTCCCATCACCCAGGTGACACCCAATTGCCGGGTGGCTCTGAGAAATGATAGCTACACTCTGCACAAGATCCTGCCCAATAAGGTAGACCCACTGGTGTCGCTGATGATGGTGGAGAAGGTGCCAGATTCAACTTATGAGATGATTGGTGGACTGGACAAGCAGATCAAGGAGATCAAAGAAGTCATCGAGCTACCCGTTAAGCATCCTGAGCTCTTTGAAGCGCTGGGCATTGCACAGCCCAAGGTGAGAAGCAGGGCTTCTGTGGGAGGGCCCTGCTGTTCCTGTATGCTTCCTGCCCCAGGCGACTGAGTACGGACCCTCCCTCTGAAGAGGCACTGTGGCGGGTGGGATGTAAGCTCCAGAAGGGACCTTAATGTTCATTTTTTGTATCCCTGAGTGTCTAGCATGGGATATGTCAGAGCAAGCACTCAGTAAGTGTTCATTGAATGAAATGTGGGGCTGGCTTTCTGCCGAGTCCTGATGTTGTTCTCTAGGGAGTGCTGCTGTATGGACCCCCAGGCACTGGGAAGACATTGTTGGCCCGGGCTGTGGCTCATCACACAGACTGTACCTTTATTCGTGTCTCTGGCTCTGAACTGGTACAGAAATTCATCGGGGAAGGTAACTGCTGCTATAAACACGAAAACCAAGTGGAAGTGAGGGGGTGCAGGTGAGGGTAGAGAGTTCCTCAGCTCCTTAATGCCAGCTTGGCCTCAACACAGGGGCAAGAATGGTGAGAGAGCTGTTTGTCATGGCACGAGAACATGCTCCATCTATCATCTTCATGGATGAAATCGACTCCATTGGTTCCTCACGGCTGGAGGGGGGTTCTGGAGGAGATAGTGAAGTGCAGCGCACAATGCTGGAGTTGCTCAACCAGCTGGATGGCTTTGAGGCCACCAAGAATATCAAGGTAAGGTGGTGCCTGCTGTAGGATGAGCCAAGGGAAGGCCCCAGGTGAAATGTGGCCTGAGGAAGGAGCTTAGCTGATACCATGCCCTTTCTCCACTCAGGTTATCATGGCTACTAATAGGATTGATATCCTAGACTCAGCTTTGCTTCGCCCAGGGCGCATCGACAGGAAAATTGAATTCCCACCCCCTAATGAGGAGGTTTGTGATGGGCAGTGCTGGGAGTGGCTGTGGCTGTGGGGGTAGGTGTTGGGGCTCAGGTTTTTCCTCCTCCATTGCTAGGCTCGGCTGGACATTTTGAAGATCCATTCTCGAAAAATGAACCTGACCCGGGGGATCAACTTGAGAAAAATTGCTGAGCTCATGCCAGGAGCATCAGGGGCTGAAGTGAAGGTAAGCAGAGTGCCCAAGGGAATGGAGGCAGAGGCAGGAAGCTCTGGATTCAAGGGCACACCAACAGGCTTTGTCTTCCTTTCCCTGCTCAGGGTGTATGCACTGAAGCTGGCATGTATGCCTTGCGGGAACGGAGAGTCCATGTCACCCAGGAGGACTTTGAGATGGCAGTAGCCAAGGTACAGGCCTCCCTCTTTTCTGCCTTTGTTGATGGTGGCTCTGGAACAGAGGGGATAGGGCCTCCGTTCACCCAGTTTATAACTTAATGCTCTCTTTCTCCAGGTCATGCAGAAGGATAGTGAGAAAAACATGTCCATCAAGAAGCTGTGGAAGTAAGGTGGATTTCTCTTATGTGGATCCCTCAAATAAAGCTCTGCAGGAGAAGCCCTTTGGGACTTCAGTCTGTTAATGAGTGGCCGCACTGTTCAATGACCAGGTCTGGGTACCACCAATAAACAAGAATTTATTTGTAAATTTCCAAACATGCCAGAAGTGGCACTTGCCAAGCCCTAGGGCCACCCTCCTTACCAAGCTGCAAAGGGACACAAGAGTTCTCTCCATCTCCCGCTGCCCTCCACGAACCTCAGGTCATGCCAGGGAACTCGAGTGTGCCCTTCCTCTAGGAGGCTTTACCGCCCTGGGCCCAAGAGTTGGGTGGCGGCAGCCCTCTGACGTCCCAGGAGATGATGGCGGCCAGAGCCGCTTGCATAGATTGAGGAAAGAAAATAAGGAAGGAAGCACCAAATAGGGCTCCCTGAAAGACCCCAACTTACCCCTGTACAAAAAAGTGGCTCCCGCATAGAAAAACCTGCTCCCCAAATAGTGCAAATACCCAAAGGAAAGGAAAAAACCAGCAGCAAGGCTGGGCTGGTAGGAATGGCAAAGAACTTTGGTTTAGAAAGGCTAGGAAGTGTGAGCTGTGCCCCTCTTCCTTGCCCAGCTCCCCAGAGCCAGCTCTGACACTTGCCCCAAAAGGGAATCTGTAAACAAGCAAAGCCAGGGGCCTTTGGTTCTGAAAAGGTTCTATTACAATGTTGAAGCACTCAGCCTCCAGCAGTCCTACTCGGGCCTGCCTGCAGGGGGCAGAGGAGGCATCTGTTGTGAACCCAATTAAAGCCAACACGGAAAGGAAACAATAAGGCTTACGGAACCAAGCAACAAGAAATCCTATCGCTACCTTTAAGAAACTAAAGCTGGGGAAGCAGAGGGTGACAGGAGACACCCTCCACCCCATCCATATCCTACTTGTCTGCAGCCCCAGATCACGGTCCCTCCCAGTCTGAGGAGGAGACAGCTCCAGAGCTAGGAAGAAAGGAAGGAATTCCTGAGCAGTTAGGTCAGGCGTATTCCAAGCACCTGTTCCAGTTCCTGCCTTCGCTGCTGCACCTAGAGAAAGGGGAGACCAGCAGCTCAGGCCTCTGCTGCTCACCAGCAAAGGAGGGCAAACAGGGCAGAACCTCACCTTGGCAAAGATGTGCCTCCCCACCGCTTCTTGGGCCCAGGGCTGGTGGTAGAAAGCAGCTCGTCTCTCCTCTTCAGGATTCCCAATCACATCAGTGATGATCTGCAAAGGGCCATGAGGAAAGCTGGAGCATAATTCACACCCCTGAGCCAACCTGCCCTTGGAGCCGAATAGTGATGGCAAAACCATCCAGAGCTTAACATGGGATCAACCCCAGAAGAGAGGACCACACCTTGAGGTCTCGGCGCTGGGAACGGAGCCATTCCTGGATGAAGTCCTGGGGGTCAGTGCTAAAGCTAAGCATGAAATCCCTCTGGGTCTTCAGCTGGTTGATGGACTCAATGGTCTCATGGATCTGGGGAAAGGGGTACATGTGTCAGACTGGCCCCTACCCCTGGGGGGTATTTTTCCAGTCCTAACTCCAAAGGACTTGTACAGAAATCCCATCCCAAGGTGCTACATATATGGGAATGCCTGACAGAGCTTTCCCACCCCCATCTTGGGCCCCAGAGGAGGTTGGGGAGACAGAAGGGCCCACCTTGACATCAAGGGAGGCAATCTCTTGCTGATTGGTGGTAGAAGCCAGAAAGTTGCTCATCTGGGCCTTGAGTGGGTCGTCCACCTCCACATCAATGTCATAACAGGCTGTCTTCTTCTGGTCGTTAGGATCCACACTATAGGCAACACACAGAAGGGTGAGCACACAGATGTATGCATTCCACCCACCTGGGCCAAACCTGCTGCTTTTCTTTGGCTCAAGCCAAAAGCAAATTGCTTAGAAGAGCATTCCCATCCCCCTCTTCCCATTTACCTAATGACATGGTTGATGACAATGGGGTCTGGATGCTGCAGCAACCCGGCCAGCTTCATGGGAATCTCAGAGAAACGGAGTCGGCCACAACTGAAGATCTGGAGAGTACCAAAGATGCCTTTGAGGGCACAGGAGGAAGTGGATCATCCCAGGGTCAGTGTGAAGAATGTAGCTAAGAACTAGCCCAGTGGGCTCTGGAACAGCAGGCAAGGTGGGCTGCAAGACTAGAGGGTGGCATCCCAGCTAACCTGGCGGAAGTAACGGTTGCAGTTGATGTACTCGCGCTCATGCCCGTCCTGCAGCTGATTGTGTTTGATGTAAAGCCACAGGGCCTGCATGATGGCGGCCCTCGTCTGTGTGTGCACTCCCAGCAGCCTTGCTAGTCGAGGGTCCAACTTGTACTGGGGAGGCTAAAGATTGACAAGAGGAGGGGTTCTTGTGAAAAAAATCAAAGAATAGGACAGGAAGGGTTTATAATAGGAACCTGCTCCCATCCCCTAGATGAGTCCCTGTGACCCCAGCTATGGCCCCAGGGCGTTTGTCACCTGATGATCCAGCATAAGCAGGAGGGTGCACTTGACGTTGAGGTCTCCAGGCCGTTTCACCTGGAAGCCATCTGTCTCCTGGGTGGTGGGCATCCGGTGCCACTGGCAGGGAGGAGGGAAGCCAAGCTCATCACCAATGGGGTGGGCATAAACATACACACCTGGCTCTTCAAGGGGACCAAGGCCATTCCTCTGTCCAGCCTACATGTCAGCCTGTGCTCCCATGCCCCAGGTTCACTCTCACCTCCACCAGGTGGTTGTCAGGCCCGTACAGTTCCTTGTCCAGCTCAATGACGAGGCTCTTAAAGAATGAAGAGAACTTCCTCTTCTGTTTGCTAGGCTGGGGATAGAAAGGGTGAGATGGGAGTGCTGCTGAACTCTCAAACCTAAGTTATGCTAAGCCCCCGAAAAAGAATCCTATTTCAGCCCTGAGGTTCAGGGTGCTGAGGGTTCTTGGGCCCCGAAAGAAGTATGGAAAGGGAGACTGGAGGCAGCCCCACTGCTAGACCATAAAGGGCTGTGAATCAGAAAGGAGTGCCTTCTTCAAGATACTGTACTGAGGTGGCGGGGCATGGCATCACCTCAACAGTTTTACTGTAAAAGGGAAATCTGAACAACAAAAATAAAAAATTTAAAACTTCAAAATTTGGAAAGACACTTTACTGCCATCTGCAGGAAAACTGTTGTAGTAATCACACAAATCTCCAACCTCTAAATGGCTTAAGAGCTGTGCAAACCATGACAAGCACTGCCCTCTCCCTCAGGCAGGACCTCTCTAGAAATGCCCAAGTGTCTGGCCCCCGTCTTAAACCCACACAGGCCACCTCCCCTCCGGCCACCTCCTTCCCCAACTCACATCATCCAGCAGTTTTCCCTCCACTCGGAGTTCCCAGGAAGCCACCTTGTCCCCCGCTGAGGTTCCAGCAGGGGTCCCTGTGGTTCCTGTAGTGTCACCTTCCGCCTTGCTGGGGCTGAATGTATTGGAAATATAGATCCGCAACTTTCGTTTTTGCTAAAGAGAGAAAGACAACGAACTAGAGGTGGACCAACATGTTGGAAAACAACGCTATCCGATCTTCCCATTTTAACTCAGCATCAATATCGAGTGGTGACTACAGGCACTAGGAATCGGGAGTAGGAAATCTGGCCTGGCCTGCAAAGACCTCACAATTTTATCAGGGGAGAGAGATGTGCCACCGACAGTTCCAACACAGTGGGATCAGTGGTGTGACAGAGGGACATACAGAGTGCTGGCAGGTAAATCAGAAGCCTCTGGCTCATATTTTAAATGAAACTCAAACACCCATCATGGCCCCAAAATATTCTCATCTTCTGGTAAGCCTTCACCATTCAGGGGACTGTTCTAGATTATTATTTTTAAAAAATAAAAATAAAAAGCTCCTCTAAGGATGGGGAAGGAGATAGGAACTACCCTCGTCCATCCTCTAGTCTTGCCTTTCGGACTTCTGACCACAATCGACATGATCTACATTTTAAATCATGACCCAGGATACACACACATCTATATAAATATCTGAAACAAAAATGTCATGAAATAATACCTTTACTACTATGGTAGGTGCTTTACTGTGAAGAATTACTATAATTTCTATTTTATATTTCGTTAAAAACATGCTAGCCCCTCCACATTAAACTGAGTTTTTGCTCCACAAATGGGCTGCATCCTGCAGTGTGAAAAAGCCTGCTTAGCCCATCGCAGACATTTGCTGGTCCACTGGAAAACCAGGCCAGGGAGAGGCAGAGAAGCTTGGAAGGTCTGGAAATGACGAGGGCTGCACACACCGTCAGAGGCTTTTTGATGGCTTCCTGGATCTCCATCCGCTTGCGAGCAATGGTCTGGTCCAGCTTCCGCTCAAAAGCCAAGAGATCCATGTACGCCTGAGACTCTGGGACAAGCTCCCTAATCTGGACGAAGGGAAAAGGAATTCATCAGCTTGTTTCAGCTGCAGCTCTGGCTCCTTCCTCCTCCATGGCAGGGTTGGGGGAGACTGATTCCACCCACAGCCAACCAGCCACTGGCTGGGCCTCCTAGGCCCCCTCCCAACATACTCACTCGCTGAGGTAGAACCTTATCTGCCATCTTCCTCCTCTTTAACCTGGGGAAGACAGAAGCCCACTTAAGAGGTCAATGGTCCAAAGAACCTGCCCCTATCCATCCCTCCAGTCCCAAGACCCACCCCCAAGAGAGCCTGGAGTCTTCCTCAGTCATCGCAGTTCTTAGGACAAAAAGAAACCCTTTGTTACCACTAGGGCCGTGCGAGGTAGGACAGGAGAAAACGAACAGTCTTACCCCCGGCGCTGGGTGGGCATCGGGGGCTGGGCCTGGGGCACAAGCAGGCGTTTTCGGAATGGGTCCATCATGGTGGGTGGCATGCCAGGTCGAAGTGGAGCAGCCGCGCCAAATGGGGGAGCCGTAGGGGGTCCCACCTGCAAGCCAGCCATGGGCATCCGGCTCCCTGGTGACATGCCAGGCCGCTGGGGGAAGTGAGCCAACGGGGGTGCATAGGTCAGCGGCAGTGCCCTATGGGGCCCATAGCCCACTCCCTCCATCCCTCTCCTCAGCCAGGTCCAACCAGCGAGAGTGCCAGGAACAAAGGGGAGCAGGCTCCTGACAGCAGAAGTGTAAACCACACCTGCCCCACCCCCTTCAACTGCCATGGCAGCGGTGCCAGCGAATGAGGCCTGCATAGCCCAGGGTGTGGGAGGAGAATCCTGCCTGCAGAGAGAAGGGCCTGGGAGAGTTTTTCAGGGCCCAATGCCACCTGTCATCCCCAGCAGGCTACTCCCTGCTCCCTGGGACCAGCCAGCTTCAAGATACTCTTGAGGTCCTCAGATGGTCCTACCAAGCACTCCCATCCTTCTCCTTGCGACTTGAGGGAGAAGCACAGCACAGGAGGCCCGGGGGCAGTGGGCTGTGGTGTGATATGAGCAGGCTGACCAGGCAGAGCCCCAACACCCATCCTCTACTGACAGCCTGGTAGTGTGACTGAGGGCAGAAAAGCAGTGCAATGGTCTGGCAAGCCCATCAGGCAACGGCACCACAGGTGAGCAAGCTGCAATAATATGGCTTAGTGCATGTTCCTATTGGTGGGGGTGGCCGCAGTCAGAGTACAGAGACCATCTGGTCCCCATATGGCCCCTACTTACAGCCCAGAACTGGACCCTTCTCTCATCTCCCTGCTGCCCAGTCACTAAGCCTTATGCTAGAAGATCCCAAATGGGAAGCTGTGGCTCCTGGGTGTCTTGTGGGAGAGAGAGCAGCTGGCCACTGGACTCTGCCCGTGGTCCACGCACCACCTGGCTCAACTCAGCCCTCATAATCCCAGCTGGAGCACGGAGATAAGATTATCCTGGGATGCAAGGATCAGAGTCATAGGGTCAGCAGAGAAATCTGGGTGACAGAAATGGCTTCTTTAAAAGCCTGCAGAAGTATTTTCCAAAGAGTTCCAGCTCCCCAACATTTCCGTAGAGCCCATCTGGGAGCAACCTCCGCACCCCCACCCCCCTTCCACATGGCTGCTGTCTGCAAGGCCTGTTTGGCAGCTCTGCCTTGCACACACTGTCCCTGGCAACTTCACAGGGCTGGCCCCAGGGCCCAGATTATGCAACCAGCACAAACAGCCAACCAAGCTGGGTTGGTTGGGGACTCGCACCAAATCAAAGGCCCCCTGCCCCAGCATCATAGGGATAAGATTCTTCTCCCACCTTTTCATCTGGTATGAAACCCATGTTCTCGCCACAAAGGGTTAAATTCTTGACCAGATGCGAAGATGGAGAAACATGACCCAGAGATGTGGAGAAGAGGAAAGGAAAAGTAGGATGGGAAGGAAGTATTTGGGAGAATGGAGAGTTAAACGTGGGGGGCTCTGGGGCCTCAAGAGTCCTGCCACAAGGCTCTTCATCAGGGAGAGATTTATCTGAGATGTTGAAAGGCAAGAGACAGACTGTTTCTTGGGCTTAATGAGCCACGGCCAGAGAGTACAGAAAAAAAGTCAGTGTGGCCACAGCTGTAAGACCAGTCTCCAGATATCCTAGACTTGAGCTTTTTCCACCCAGAGCCTGATCCAAAGAGGAGGAACAACTGAAGCAGTGAAGCCTGCAGGGTGTGAGCAAGGGCTCTGCGGTCCCCACGAAGCTACTCACGAAGGAGTTCACAGAACCACCAGGCCACCTCCTCTCCTAGGCAGGTGCTCTGGTAACAGGAAGTCCCAAGACAAGGCGGCACAAGCAGGCCTGGAACAGGCCCCTCCCAGACATCTGTTCCAGACTTCCCAGGCGCAGAGCTCCCAGTGCGCACCCGGGGCCCCAGGCTTCATCAAAGAGGGGGAAGGGGCCCAGGGAAGACTGCTTACAGTTCATTAAGTCCCAGCTTGGCCTTGCCAAACTCCACACCTGGGCTTTGAAACACCAGTGGCTCTCCTTTCAAAAAACAACCCAAGGGTTAAAAAAAGAAAAAAGAACACAGCTCAGAACTCTCAGGCTCCTTAACTTCCCACCTGCAGCAGGGTCCAGTGCCCTGAACCCCAAAAGTATGCAGTGACCTCCTCTCCCTTTAGCCTAGCACCAGCCCACATCCTAAGCTTTACCCCCTACCTCCGCAGGAGACTGGGCCTGAAGCTGCCACCTCCAGAGAACACACTCTGTCCCGCCTCAAAGCCTGTGGGCCTGGTGCTACTGGTGGCTGGGCCTAAGGGCCTGGAAGGAGAACAAATCCCTCCATATGTAGAAAATATTTTGAACTCTCTGAAGTGAACCCAGCGATCTGTGTTTTGTTTTGTGTTGTTTTGCTTTTTCTTGTTTTCTTTAAGCTCCTCATCTGTGAGCTTGCCTGTGATCCACAGCCAGAACCACTGTGTGGAGGGAGGTGGCTCATCACTTCCCTTCTCTCAATAGGCTCCCCTATTTGCCCAACCTGGGCCCTGACATGCCCTGAAATCCTTGCTCTTCCAGCTCATCTCACGCACCCTAACAGAGAGGAAACCCTCTGCTCCTCGGCTCTCAAGTCCCTTCTCCTCAAGTCACAACTAGACTTGGAAAGAGGCCGAGCAGGATCCTCCCCAAACTCAGGCAAAGAGAACTGGGTCCTCCCTCTCCCAATCTACCTTTCTGCCTCTCCTTGGAAAAGGAGGAGAAGGCCATGAGAAGCTGGTGAGATGGGAAGCCCAGGAAAACAGAGGCTCAGTGCCTTCTCCATGTTCCTCATCCTTGTTTCCACCCCCAGTAGCTCACGGCTGCCCAGCCGGCCTGCTCGGCCTTGCCACTGGCCCAAGGCCACTCCCTACAAGTTGTTGTGGAATCCACCTTCTTCGGGGCTTTCCCCACAGCACTTTTCCAATGAGTTGCAAGCTGAGGAAAAAATAGAGAGGCTCCTATCCATTCCTTAGATCCTTCGGAGGCTAAAGGTCCACAGGAGGTTGCCAGACCAGGTCTCGGCTAGCTGGCCCCTGGGTTGGAATGACTGATGCAGGCATCCTTCCCTGACACCTTGGGCTCATGAATCCCCAAGGGGGAGAGCAAGATAAGAAAGATGACCCCAGTCTGTCTCTGCCAATACCCTGACCCTTTGTTTTTTAGAGAGAGGAGGGAGAATGAGTAGTAAGGGAATAGTCACTGTCCCCAGTTGGGCATCTCTTTGGAAAGTGAAGGCCCAGAGCTCCTGGTGGGGGAACATGTATACTCCACTCCAGGCTGTGAATGAGTACCAGTCCATGGCCTATTAGGAACCGGAATGTAAGCGGCAGGCAAGCAAGCGAAGCTCCCCAGCACTAGCATCACCACCTCAGCTCCACCTCACATCATCCGGCATTAGATTCTCACAGGAGCACCAGTCCCTGATGCCAAAAAGGTTGGGGACCGCTGCCCTACTCTATGGGGATGGATTTCTGGGACCTCTACCTGGAGACATGAGAGAACATAGGAAGCTCCAGCTTTCTTCCTTCCAACTTGCTGGAAGCCAGTGTCAAATGCTAGGCCCATGAATTGGCATTGTTAGAACCTAAAGGCTAAATAAAAGTGAAGAAGAGGCAGGAAAAAAGGATGGGCAAAATTCCCAAGAGTCTGGGACAACCAGAAACAATGGACTGGGAGACTGATGAGCTCCTCCAGCAGTCAGGCTGAGTTCCTCACACAGGGACCAAGTCTCTGCCTCTCAAGGGCCTTTGAAGCTGCAACCTGAGAAGCTTTCTTCGAAGCCAAACCCCGAAGAGGTCAGGACAGAACCCTTTGAAGCAACTTTCACAGGCTCCTCCAGCCCCATAGCAGCAGGACTCAGTGGAGTCTCTCTGCTCCTCCAGACTAATCAACTCCTGGACACTGTGACACCAGGCAAAGAGCCAAGAAGAGAGTCTGCCCAGAATGGGCTAGGCTGTCCTCCTTCCTCAGGCCTGGCCACCACTGTCTCTGGACTAACCCAGAGTCATCCCATGCAAGGACTCCTGGGCCTGACCCAGAAGGAGACTCTCCACTGCACAGGCTGGAATCCCCTTGCCCTATCCTAGGCCTCCCATGCCCGTGGGAAGCCAGGCCCTTCTTCCTCCTCATTAGCAGCTGGGAGCCATCTCAGACACGCTTGAACTCTGCCAGTTCTCAACTAGAAAAAACAGAGCAGACTTGGAATGAGACCAAGGCCAATGCGGGGTAACCCTGGTTTCTTAGTGAGGGCTCTTTTCCAAAACTTTCTGATTATTTCCCAGGACCCCCTACTCTATAATCTGCACTAGAGCTCTCAACCGACCCGCCCACAACTCCTCCATCTCTCAGGTTCTCAGAAGCCCCCGAAACGCTCCCAACTGTTTCAAACCCTCCACCCGAGTTGCTCTTAACCTCTCCTCCAAGTCTTCCACCACCAACTCGCCGATTTCGAGGGTCCCTGGCCTTATCCTCCACATTGTCTCCAGCGCTCCACACGCAGGGCCCCTGTGCCCTCAGTCTAGGAGGCGGCCCCAGGAACCCCTCTGCCCCTGCCGCCCGCGTGCTCGCGGCGAAACAGCCCATCCGTCCTCCTCACCTGGTACTGTGCCGCAGGGCCCGCGGGGCCCATGGGGCGGAAGGCTGCGGCCCCGGGGCCCCCCACGCCTCCAGCCGGTCCGGGCCCCCGGAGCGCCGGTCCGGGTAGCATGCCCGGGCCCGCTGGCGGAGGCGGCGCTCCCAAAGCCGCGGCCACCGCGCCGCCGCCGGGGCTCAGCGGGGGCAGCGGGAACCCGCCCGCGCCACGGCCGGACATCGCTCCGTCCCGTCCGAGGGTACCGTAATCCGGACTCCGGGCTCCGCACAGAGTCCGCTCCGCGCTCCGGGACTTTCCGATCTAAATTCCGGGTTCTGGGGGTTTGTTGATCCGGGTTCCGGGATTTCCTAATCCAAGTTCGCGAGTTCCTCACGGACCAAGTTTGGGGCAGAGCCGATCCTGATTCCGGTCCTGCCCGGGAAATCCTGGATCCGGGATCTACTACGGGCCTTCCTGCCGCCCCCGGCCTCCGGAGGTTTGGCCGCCTGAGTCCAGTTAACCCAGAGGCGGCAACTAACTCCCTGCTCCGCCCAGCCCCGCCCAGTGCTGGGCCCCGCTTCTGCACAGCTGCCCAATGCCAAGATGCCTCCTCAAATCCCGCCCCTCGCGAGACCCGCCCCTAACAGGCACCGCCCCTAACTGCCAGCCCCAGAGTCCCTCCCATGTCCCTTGGGCCGGCCCATCGCGGGAAGGGCGGGGGCGGAAGCTGCTCAAGGAAACGCCGAGCTAGGCGCGGGGTCAGAGGTCGAAGGTCACCTAGGGTTTCAGCAGTGAAAACTAGAGATTTGCTGAGCTCTCCCAGGTATAGTCGACTCGTCGAGGTCCCTAGCCACGCTCCTTGAAATAGTTTTGTCAAGTCTCCTCTTTCCATTTTCAGCATTAAAGACAGCTTAGATCAGAACCCACCAACCTGACGTACTTTCAAAGTCCATCTTGGTGGCTCAGAGCTGCCAAGGGACATGGGCTGCCCCAGATCCTATCCAGCTATGTTAAGGGCTGACTTAGCCAAACGCCAGAGTTTTTATCGCATATTTTTAACGAGGCTCTGCCTCACTTTAAGGAAGCCTAGTACTTTACTCCATAGGAAATGTTTCTAGGCGAAGGAACTTTGCGTTACGAGAAAACGCAAATACGATCTTTCTCTAAGATTTATAGCACTTAATTTTCAAAACTTAAATACCTTTTCAGCAACCACTGTTCTCTATCAGAAAGTACTCAAAATAAAGTTCTTCAACTATGCCTGGAAGCCTACACTCTTGGTAGTCTGGGGTATTCTTCTCATGACACCAGTGCTTCTTAAACTTTAATGAGCATAAGGAACATCTGCGGCTCTTATTAAAAATTTGGATTATGACTCAGTGGGCCTTGGGACTGGGGTAGGGCCCAAGATTCTGTGCTTCTAACAAGCTCCCAAGTGATGCTACTGCTACTCAGACAACACTTTGGGGAAGCCAAGATAGAGACTTATATAAAGCCTCTGCTTTATGTTTTCACCCTCAACCAAGTCTTGCACCATAGCACCCCAGATACTTCCTGCTGCTGCTTTCCTTTCTTTTGGTCTCAGAGATCCCTCTCCTCTTTCTCCCTAAAAATGGGTTATCTGGCAGTCTGGGAACAGACCACTGGAAGTGTTAAAGTCCTGAACCGGGGCCTTTCCCCACCCTGCAAGGTGGATAAAGAATTCACGATAAAGCAGTTAATGTCCCTTTCAACCCTCTCAAGCTCTAGAGCAACAGTAGTTCTAGAAGTAGTAAGGGCAAATCCTCTGAGAAGCTATTCCAAAACAGGCCTGCCAGCCACTCCTCAATTCCTACTCTCACTCTCATTCTCTCTCTCTCGCTCTCGCTCTCTCCTTCTCCCCATTATCTCTCATTGCAATGACTCCCAGTATTATATTTTAAAAATAAGACTCCCACGGTAATTCTGATACAACCCTGCTTGTAGAGACTCTTTACTTTAGAAGAGAGTCTACCTAATAAGTGCATTTAAAGACAGATAAAACAGTTAAATGTAATTAACTATTATCTCTTGCTTAAAACCCTCCTCAGCTCCCATTGCTTTTAAGTTGAATGTCACGCTCCCTCCCACGACACCTAAGGTTCTGCAGGGCCTGTCTCCTGCTTATCTCCTTGGTCTCATTTTAAATCACTGCTCTTGGCTCTCTAAGAGTCAGTCCAGAGGTTCTCCTAGCAATTTCCAAAACTGCTAAGCCCCTTCCCACCTCAGAACTTCTCTTCCCCCAGCTCTTCCTTAACTTTTCTGCTATCTCCCCTTATTACTTCCCACCAAGTGATTATCACAATATGTAATTACTTGTTTATGTATACACTGGTTTACTGTCTGATCTGGGTCCCTCACTAAAATATAAACTCTTATGAAGGCAGGAAGTATTTTTTTTTTTAATTGAGGTGAGATTCACAATACATAAAATTAACCATTTTAAAGTAAACAATTCAGTGGCATTTAGTACATTCACATTGTTGTGTAATCACTGTCATAACTAGTTCTAAAATATTTTCATCACCCCAAAAGAAAATCCCATACCCATCAAGCAGTTGCTTCCCATTACCCCCACCTCCTAATTCCTGGTACCCATTCTGATTATTTATTACCTGTTCTGATTATTTCATATAAGTGGAATCTTATGTGGCTTTTGTGTCTGGAGATGGGATCTGGTACTTCACTTTGGGACAATTCAGGACCTTGTGAAAAGAGAACACTAAGTTAACGCTGAAGAATCCATAGAGATGGGGGGAGGGAAGGCCATTCCCATTGCTACCCTCAAAGGATTAGTGAAGACTTCTTTGAGGAGGTTATGCAAAAGAGGTTATGAATGAGTTAAGCAAAGAAAATGAAGTAAGACTCAAAGGCACGAAACAGTACAGGGTAAGGAGAATCAATTAGTTTTGCTGGATCATAAAGTATAAGATAGAAAGCTCCTCTGTGTGCAAATTGAGGTCGCAATTCTCAAAACACATATTTTCATAGTCAACACAATCTAGCAGGTAAAACTCCTGGAGAGTAGAGACCTCCAATAGTAGAAACAGATACTAGGATTCAAGAAGTGAGCTTCAGGTCTACAGCCCAGGTGACATTACTGGAATTTCTGGAGTCCACGTATGGGGCATGAGTTTACCATTTGTTCTCTCCCCATACAAGGTAGAGGGTTATAGCACATTCAGAGACTTGGGTGGCACTGTGGTCTCAGAGTCCTCTTCTTGGTCACTTCTTAGACCCTCCCAAAGGTGACCTCCTGGCTCTTGAATTTGGACCCAGGTAGAACTGAAAAACAGACTACTAAGAAAAAAGATAAGGCAAGGGTCCCCACTGGGATCCCTGACTTATCTTCACTCTCCTTCTGGTGCCTAAATGTGCTTGTCCTCTAGGGTTCTATTTTTAGCTCTGCATGAGTACTTAACCTACTCAGACATAATCATCCACTCACGTCCCTTCAATTACTATTTTCTGATGACCCTAAATCTCTAACTCCAACCCCCACCTTTCCCCTGAGCTTCAGATCCAAATTTCCAACTCCCTGCTAGATGCTCCATAGGTCATTTAAACCCATCTATCCAAAATCAATGTCTCATTGTCTTCCCTCCCAGTCTCCTCCTCCGTATCTATCTTAAGGCCATGAAGACAAGGCGAAGGAACAACTTTGCCTTGCTGAGACATTCAAATTGGTCTCATAGGCAACCGAAAGCCAAAGAAGAGGGAGTGACCCAATCATATGCCCAGGGCGCCTGCAACCAAAAGCAAAGAATAGAGAAAGCCTTAAGGACCTTCATTCTGCTCTCACTTGAAATTCATTTTCATTCCTCCCTCTCTTACTCCCTTTCAGTCTTAGTCACCAAGTTCTGTTGGTTCTACCTCCTAAATCTTTCTTGGATCCATCTTACCCATCTTAGGCCAGATCCTCAGCATCTCTTCTACAACCTATACAACTGGTTTCTCTGCTAATGGGCCATCCTACCTCCTTCCCCCTGCCAATTTTAGTCCAAGACAGCAAATCTGATCATGTCTCTCCATTTCTCCATATTTGTGTGCCTTCCACTACCTTTGGCAGTGGGCTTTAAACCCACTGTGGTCCCCCAGGTTTCTCAGAGCTGTTGGGGAGAGCTAAGGTGAGGAGAGAAGGCAGGGCTAGGAGTTCTTCCCCTGCTCGGCCTACCCCTACTCCTATCCCTGCTTCAACCAAGGAGCTCGACTTTTACTGTTTTATATACTGAGTGACCTTGCAAGGTTTCTTTGGCAGAAAAGGTCACATAGCTCTAAAATGTTTAAAAGCCGAAGGCTTATAGAAGAGTCTATTTCTAAACTTCTTAGCATTGCATAAATTGGCTCTTTATTCTCTGACCTCCACCTAGCTTTCTAGCTTTATTTTCTACCAACATCCCATGTATTCTACGATCAAGCCCCAGTGAACTTGCCCTTCCCTGAACATGCAGAGGACCTTTCATGCTGTGGTTCTTCTGCCTATGATGTCACTAGATTATAAGCTCCTCCAAGGCTGGAGCTTTGTGTCCTGATACCTAGAACTATATTTGACACGAAGTTAAATACTCAATACATATTTGTTAAATGAATAAGTATTCTTCCCCAGTTCTCTGATATGCAAGTACCTGTTTATATTCCTCAAGGCAAACTCAAACATACTGCCTCTAAAATTTTCCTTGACTTCCTATCCCCACCCTCCAACCGCCACCATCAATTTATTTTCTTTTCTGTTTTCCATAGCACTTGGTCTAAATTTCTGTAAGAGTACTCATCATATTGTGCTGTGGCTTTTGTTTGGGGCTTTGTCTCCATCCACACACTCCTCCAGTGTGAACTCCAGGAGGACTAGGACAGTGCAGAAACACCCGCTCAGGAAATAACGCTGATAAAATTTACCTCCACTTCTCCACCCAGACTTCCACATGATCAGGAGTTAACCCAGTGGGGCAGAAGATTAACAACAGCTTAATTGTAAGTTAACTTTGGCTCCCAAATCCTTCTTGATCTTTTGAGCTCTAGCTCTTGTAGACTTATTGCTTTGTGACCTTCCACCTGGATTCCTGAAATTTTCTTTGTTTACTCCTTAGCCCAGATCTTATCCTCACCTTGACTCTAATGGGCCACCAAGGTTGATTCACTTAATACTAACTCTTGATTTTAATCCTTAATCTATCTGCTCTTTTAATTCTGGTTAAGACTGTACTAATCCTAATTAACCACTTAGCCCCTATAAACAGCAAGTTGCCTCAGAGTCATTCACTCACACCCCTTACATAAAAAAGCAGGTAAGGGAGAGAGTCTTGAGGGATCAGGGAAGCAGCAGATTTGGGGACTGCAAAAACAAAGTAAAACAGTCAAAAGAGAGATGTAGCTTCAAAAGAGAACAGCTCTCTAGCTTAGGTTTCTTCTGCTTTTGTCAGGTTCAAACCTGCTTCTTCCATAACTCAGTCTCACCACCATCACTACTTGGGCCAAAGCAATTAACCATTTGAAGGTACGACTTCTCCACTTCTCTAGAAAAGCACTGTTCACAAATAGGTTAGCTGGAATAAGCCCATTTGCCAAAATTTAATTCACTAAGTGACCAATTTATGATATTATCAGAACTTAAAAGAAGCTATTTTACACGATATGACTACATTTATTAAATGAGATTGTATTAACAGCATTAAAGATGTTGAAATTTAAGATTTTAATAAAAGAAATGAAAGTTAAAGCCAATATGCCATTGAGGAATTAGAAAAAGGATGATAAAAATGTAAGCATGTGACGAAATAGAAAATGACATTCAAAAGAACCTGAAAACAATAAGCAGGTGAAAAGTTCTGTCAAATATAAGTGCAGAAATTTTGGTTTCTAGCAGGGAGTGATTAGGATGTTGACTTGCAGAAATATTTAACATAAATGAGACAAACCATTCAAAGTCACGAAAGGGAAAGGAGGTGGCTCATTACTATAATAGAGACTCAGATTTGATATACATTAAACAGGAAAATGAATTCGTAAAGGACAAAAAAAGTGAACATACTAAAAATGAGGTCTGGTAAAAATAAACAAACAAACAAATAAATAAAAATGAGGTCTAGTAAGAAATTTACTAGAAAGCAATAGGTGCAACCACATCACAAATCCGTTTTATTGGAAATAACATACTAAAGTGATATGCAAACTGAGAAATTGGCAAAAAATTTCCCCCAAATGCTAAAACATTCTCATATGAAACTAAAGTTTTGATTACTGATACTGAAAAATACTTTTATGAATAGTAAATATTTTCGGACTTTTTAAAAAACAGCTTTATTGAAATACGATTGACATCAACTGTACATATTTAAATTGCACAAGTTGATAAATTTTTACATATATTCGTATTTTCATAAGAACTTTAAATTACCATGTGACTTCAAATTTAATATTCCTTAAAACATTACCATGAAGATAAAATAAAAACCTATTAAAAACTTTCTGGAATTCTCCGAAAGCTTTTAAAGCTAGCCCACATAATAGTAATTGCTGAGAACTTTATGAAGAGGTAAAAGAAACACCTTTTTGGATAAATGGTATCAAGGGTCCTCTCACTTTGTTCCTTTGAACTGTTTGGGTTGGGATGAGTTGAGGCCATAATCTTTGACAAGTATAGTTCCTCCATTCTTCCCTACTGATAGAAGATTCCAGAGGTGGAGATGAAAAACCAAGCTTGTTGTCTGGAAGAGAGTGGTGATGGTGTCTTCTCTGGACAGATCCAAATTCTCATTCTCATCACCACTTTTAGGGACAAGGGGTGGAAAAGCAGAATGAAAATGGAAAGCACTCACAGAACCAAGAATCCTCTGAGGAAGCTATGCAATGCTTCCCCACAAAGAAAATTAAGGTTTGAATTCACTCTTTCAGAGACTCTTAGCTCATTCAATTACTCAATATTAATTGAGTGCATACTATGTGCAGGCATTGTTCTGGATACTAAGGATACAGCAACAAATAAGACAGACAGAAAGCATGACATAGTCTATGGAGAAAACAGCAAACAGATAAACAAGTTGATATATACAGTGGTATGCTGGTAAATGTTTAACAACCAGTTCTCAAAAACAATCCACCAAAATAAAAGAAAAAAAAAAACCTGCTTTGTAACCTTTGACAGTTTTAGTGATGTATATACTTCCACCATAGATGGCTGTTTTCAAGCTACTAAGCTGACATCACTAAATGCAGAGTTGGGAAGAGGTGGGCTAACCTATATGAGCTGGTCTAGAACACCACTGGGTATTTAACATAACATCAGGTAGTGATATGTGCTATAAAGAAAAATAAAGCTCAACAGTTTTAGGGAGAGCAGTCAGGAAAGGCCTTTCTGAGACTATGAGAGGAAGACAGATTACTATTTATTGAACATCTATTTGGTGTCAAAAACTATGGTAGCTATATATATGTATACACTAGATGAGGAAACGAGAAGCTATGCAATTTTCTCACAGTCCCAAAGCTAGTAAGACATTGAAGAGGGATTCATAGACAGGCCTGTCTGGCCCCAAAGCTTCTATTCCATCTGACATTCTCCTTCAAACTATCAGTACAGAAGAAGACAAGGCATTGGTACAACTGGGGTATAAGAAAGGTAGCTGCCTTAGGCAGCCCCAAGGAGTTAGTCCCGGGACAAGAAGCCATTCATTCATAGTCTAAAAAGAAAAAAAAAAATACAGTTCTTAAGACTTGACACCAAAATTGCCAGCTACATTAATAATTTCCTTGCCTGCCACTCCCATACAGAGAATAGTGAAGATTCTCCAAGTCTATTTCCTTATCCATAAAATGGGGTTAATAGTAATATCTCCCTCGAATGTAGTTATAATGGATACAGATAATCACTATCCTTCTGAAAAAAAAAAAAAAAATCGAAATCCTCAAATTTCACTGCACCAAGGAACTCAGCCCAAGCCTCACCATCAGGCCATGGATAGAGGGGGAACCAAGGACATAACAGGATGTTCATGATAATGGCCTAAGGGAAAATGTTCTGAGAAGCGGCCCTCGGAAGCCTTTTTATCATGGAAGCTGAGGAAAGCTTTTCTCATGGAAGCTGAGGAAAGCGGTCTCGAGGTGGAAAGAGGCAACAGAGGATTTACTTGCTTACCCCCATTTTTAGGGCTCATTGCTCCCTCCTGAATGGGGTGGGGGGAGCAAGGGCACAGGCATATTTGGTAGGAAGTGAAGAAGGAAATTCTAGTTTGCTCGAGCTTGTATACGGAGGGAGGGGCACAAAAAGGACTTTTTGGATATTCGCAAAGAGTTACGCCAAATCCATCTCCCAGCTCACCCAGAAGAGCTGAGAGAAGTCCCAGGCAGGACTTCGAGCCAGTGAGAAACCGAGGTCCAACGGCAAATAAGCTCCACGGCCCAAGGCGGGAAAGCGGCTGCGCGCGCAATCCACTCCCGCGCTAAACGGCTCGCGTGTTCAGGCCACACCATGAGATGACCAGGCACAGGGGAGGACAGCTCCTTGTTTTCCCTATAGGTATATAATTTGCAACGACAACCCCTTTCCTTAAGTTTTCACGTTGTTTTATTTAATTTCCATTACCTTAAGTCAAATACGCACTTTTTGCCAAGCAAGGTCCAAGATTCCCTACCCTCATCTTCCCCCTCTCACCCCTCCTCCGGTTTTAGCTTCCTGCCAGCCCCATTGGTTTCAGCCAATACTTGCTAAGTTTCTGCGTTGACGTCACGAGTTTCTGGGCAGATCAGGAAACTCCTCCGGCCAGTAGCGTCCTCGTGCGCCCCCGCCTGGTGGTGCCTACGAGAGCTTCCAAACGGTCTGAGCGCGTGGCGGTTCCTGAGAACGCAGTAGGCGAGGCGGCAGAGCGGGCGAATTGGCTGAGTGACCCGAAGAGTGGCGGGAGCAGCGAGGAGAGGCCCTCAGTGAGAATTTAGGTTTTGTTTTGTTTGCTTAGATTCATGCCGATGTCTCCTCCCAGCTTTCCTATGGAATCTATGGAGATCGAGCTTCATGGCGGGCTTCGCCTCCTCACACTTTAGTGGGCCGGAAACCGTGAGGAGGACGCACCGAAGTATTTTTTCCACATATTTTTTAATGTTTTAAATACCAACTGCCTTTAAAAGCCTTCATGGCCTGCTGGGCTGAGAACGTGAGAGCCACGTTGTGAATAGGCTGGGGAGAAGACTCCTTCAGAGAAAGAGTGGGCCTCATCCTTTGTGTGGAAACGGTGGGCACACGCCCTCATGCAAATATTTGTAAATGTTTTATCTAGTTTGTTCATTTATTCATTCATAGTTGTTGAATGCCTACAACTATTCTGGGTGCTTGTGAAAAGAAAACAAAAGGCCCTGCTCTCATGGAGCTTACAGTCCAGGAGCTTACAGACAGGTAGACAATAATAACAAGCCTAAGAATGTTA